CTATTTTCAAATCTGATTGCTTTGCTACAATGGATACTCAGATCTGAGCACAATCTTCCTTCGTCTTCGTCATTTCTGGTGGGAAATTTATCAACAGAGATTTCCGATTTGGGATCGAAGGAATCCATGGATGATTTCACAGGCCTCTTAGCGAGAGACTTCGGATTGAAGCCCCAAGGAAAATCTGCTCCGATGGCTCCTCAATCGAACTCATCTGCCGCTGATTTCAGCAGTTTCGCATCTTCCTACAGCTTCGCGAACSCATCATCGTCGCCGGGCAGGAAGAAGTCCGATTCGTCGCCTGTATTTGACGATCCTGGTCGCGATGGTGATGATCTCCTCTTCAACGATGTTTTTAGCGGACCACCCAAGTACGGATCCTCCGATTCTCGTTCTCAGTCGAAGCCCTCTGCTCCGATGGCCTTTGACTACGATGCTATGTTCAAGGAGCGGACAACACCCAAATCAGCCTCGTCCATGCCGGTTTATGACAAGCCCGTGTTCGACGAGGATGTGTATGAAGCTATTCCTGAGCTCAAAATCCCATCGACTTCTCAGTCAGCTAGATTTGATGACGTTTTCTCTTCGATCTCGTCGTCACCTTCAAAGCACAGGAAACAGAACAGTTCTCCCTTAGATGATCTGATGGGGAATTTGGGGAAACAAAACAAGACAGAGAGTGAACGAMAGGATAAGGGTAGCTCCGTTTTTGATGATTTGATTCCCGGGTTTGGTCGGAGTACTTCCCCTCCTACTAAAAGGTAATCTTTCAGCCTTCTACTTGATCTGTGTTTAGGGCTCACTGCTTGCGTGAAATGACTTAAAGCTTAGAGCTTAGAGCTAAATTTTGTTTCTCCTAGAGCTGACTTGAGAGCTTGCTTGCGTGAAATGACTCAATGAAATGTAGCATTAGCTTTATTGTGCTTATGGAGGGAGAGATGTTTGCAGGCATATAACGTTTCTCTTATGTATACTTTCTGGAACTTAAAGAATTCTTAGAAAGTCTCCAAAAGCTTCAACTTTCATTTTCGTTTTAGGTACATGCATAACGTCTTTATCAATTGAAAGATGCTGTACTCTTTTGCACAGGCCTACTTCAGAGATGAATGAATCTCAGAATCCTTCTTATCGCACTGCCAAAACATCTTCCAATCTTGTGGAAGACCCATTTGTCGTCTTGGAGGAGTCCGCATCAACCCCTAGAGAACCTTCGACAGGAGGGTTCACTGATCCATTGGAGGAAATTGGTAAATTCAGCAGCAGAAAAACTGATCATTCARCTGTCCGTGGAGGKGTYTTTGTTGATATTGACCCTCTCGATAGTCTTGGAAAATCAGGGCRAGATARGASTAATAGAGACAAAAGTCATTTAAGACCAGGAAGCACCAGTGGCTCTCAGTCACCAGTGGAAAGCTCTAGGAGTTACCATCCTAAGAAAGTTTCATTTGACGAAGTTTTGGAGCCGCAGAACACTTCATCTAAAACTGTTCCTCAGACTGCTTCTCCGGTGTATGAAAACCCTCCTCATATGTACAGGGAAAATTTGTCAGAGAATAGATCACAGAATTCGGATGGAAGTTTTGAATCATCCGATGATGTGTGGCTTACAGTCTCTGAGATCCCCCTATTTACGCAACCTACGAGTGCTCCGCCACCTAGTAGACCTCCACCACCAAGACCCACACGTCCTATAAAAAAGAAGGTTAACGAGCCTTCTTTATCGAGTTCTACTAACCACTCGCATGCTCGTAGGTCAGCAGCTCGTGATTCTGTAAATAGCCCGACAGCATCTCAAATAGATGAACTCGATGATTTTTCTATGGGCAGAAATCAGACTGCTTCAAATGGACATCCTGAGCCTCCCTCTGGTGAAGATTCAGATGGTTTCTCTGCTGCTGCTGCCATGAAGGATGCCATGGATAAAGCAGAGTTGAAGTTTAGGCATGCTAAGGAAATGAGAGAGAAAGAAAATTTGAAGGCAAGCAGAAGTAAAGAAGGCGTTCATATGGAGAATTATGATTCTRGGGAAAGYGAGCTCAGAGAAAAGCAAGTGCGATTGGATCGT